CATAGTTTTAGACGTTACAACGTCATCCTACTTAACAAGTTATAAATACTTTGGCAATTGTCTTTCTCCTGTAATTCACTCCTGAGGATGACGTTGTAACGTCGAAATGTGTAGTCGTCAACTTTTTGAAGACCATAGATAGGCCTAAATAAAATGTTTTTAATTGTGTACCAGTTTAACGTTGAATATTATTTATGATTTTGATACCATCAATATTTCACTTAATCCTACTAAGTACATCTAGGGCTTACTATGTGTGTTACATCACGAAGGAGTGATTTGATTATTATTTTTTATGACGAAAGCATTGTGATATTTCGTAATCATGAATAATTGTTTGTAATCAAGCACAAAGCTACACAATGGGCTATCTGTGCTCTGCCCATCACGGGTATCGAAACCCGGCTTCTAACGTTGTAAGTCTGCAGACATACCACTGTGCCACTTGGAGACTTCATAGATAACAAACATCGTTCACTACAATTATATTCATTTACCTATTAAGAAACCGCCTAGTGGCACAGCGGTATGTCTGCGGACTTACAACGCTAGAAGCCGGGTTTCGATACCAGTGGTGGGCAGAGCACAGATATCCCATTGTGTAGTTTTGTGCTTAATTCCATACAAACAAACAAAGACTTAATTAATTATGTGATAAAAAGATATTATATCTAACTGGTTAATCCAAATAAAGCTGGATTAGATTACGTTAATCTAACAAGCTAAAGTTAATTCAAGTAGTTTACGGTTTAGCTTGCTGGGTTTGAATTATTCTGTTGCTAACATCTAATATTTAAATCGAATATTTACGTTCTTTTGATGGAAAGAAGTAAGAATCCTTGTTGTTACCATCTAAAAGGACATCACATCTTTTGATAGTATTACATAAAGTAAGAATCCTTGTTGTTACCATCTAGAAGGACATCACATCTTTTGATGGTATTACATAAAGTAAGAATCCTTGTTGTTACCATCTAGAAGGGAAATGACATGTTTTGATAGCTACAGCACTCGACTCACAATCCGCGAGTCGCGGGTTCGAATCTTCTTCACCGAACATACTCGTCCTTTCAGCCGTGGAGGCGTTAAAATGTGCCAGTCAATCCCACTATTCTTTGGTAAAAGAGTAAACCAAGAATTGGCGATAGGTAGTATTGACTAGATGCCTTCTCTCTAGTCTAACACTGCTAAATTAAGGACGACTAGTGCAGATAGCCCTAGAGTAGCTTTGCAAGAAATACAAAACAAACCAAACCATCTAATAATTAATTTATTAAAGATTTGGCGAAAGTAGATTTTATTAATCTATTAATTTAATTATTAATTCTTTATTTATCTAATGAATACTATAACACCATATATGACCATATTTGGCTATGAACCTCTACTCTGAGTATTTCATTTTTATCATTTAGCCTGATTAGATCGTGTGTCACATTTACCTACTATAATTTAAGCACCAACATGCAAGGCAGAGAAAGCAGTAGAAGATAAAAACGGTTCTGTTGAGAACCCAAAACTTGACCCTCCAGTACGAAGAAGATACTTCTTTAAAAATAGTCATTTCACCAAATCAAATGTATAAGAGTCTTCCTCTTGATTTTGCAAGAAAAATCCATTGAAGGAAACTAGGACTTAATTTACTATCATACCTGGAAGAAAAAACGTATTTACATAAACATTAACTACAAAGTTTTCTGTATTAGCATGTGAATTTACTTCCATAGTTCTTGACTCCTTTCTGAACGTCAGTTCTCATTGTGACATAGTCTTGAATTATTCGTAACCTAGTCAGGATCATTACTTGTTAAGATTTCTATGTTTATTTTGTTTACAGATAATGGCTCGGCGGTAAATCTGAAGGCTTATAACGCTAAAAGTCTGGGTTCGATACTCGTGGAGGGCACAGCACAGATGTTCCATTGGGTAGCTTTATGCTTGCCTACAAACAAACAAATAAATTTATAGATGATCTTCCAATGAAGTAGGGTGAGCAACCACCCCCTCCCCTACCCCAATAGGTTTTACTTGTTTACCCGAGAAGTGAACATAATTTAGACCGTTTTTTACTCTAAATCTCAACATACTTTAAAGCGATATAAACTCCTTTGTGTTAACTGGAGGAAAGTGTTAAGAATCCAACGGTTTCTGTTGCCTGGAGACGAAGTAATTACTAATAGTAACAATATTTAGACGGTTGCTTGGCCAAATATTGTTGCACGCATCATACATCTTACGTATTTTTAAATAACGGTCTTGGAAGAGAACATGAGTATATCATTCTCCTTGTTTTAATGGTTTTAATAGGTTATTCACATGTTCAGTTTTTAATATTGATACTAATTGGTTTAAGTAATGAAACTTTGGCTTTATTCGCACGAAATGTAAGTATTTAACTGACTTGCATTGTTTTCTTTCTCCGTTCTTGTTCATATATATTTGTGTTACGACAGCGGAATTCACGTGACTCTGGTAACACGTAATGAGTATCTAGAACGTTCGTGAAGGCTCGAGTG